ACTTTTCATTTCGACTTTGACCTCCAAAGTCGAAATATTTCGACTTTTGGGTTTTCATTTCGACTTCATGTATAGTAATGAGTATCAAGGTTTATAACTAATAAAAACATTTAATAAAGTTTCATTATTTTTTAACATGCATGTGCTTAAGTGTATATGTGAGAAAGCGGGTTTTGAAATCGAAACAATTAAGGCTACTGTACCAAAATTCACTCAATCAAATATGACCGCCATGGTCACAGCTACCGATTTTGATGAATATCAAATTTTTACTCAACTGTGACCACCTCACACTTGCCGAAGTTTTTCTATGTTTTAACATTATCTAGTCATATATGCTTATCGTTTCTACAAATAAAATCAATGTATACTCATCAATTATTTTTAAATCCTATAAATGATGAATTGCTACCTCTATTCTCCTGCAGATCAAAGATGAGATCTGATTGGCTGATCTGTAACTCCTCGTGATTTAAGTTGTGAGGAGCTAGGGGAGATCTCGTATGATACGAATTTTTTAATTTAGCCGTTATATTGTCTCAGATCTAATTTAGCCAAATCGGCCGGGGTGATGTCGCCTGTTAATTACGAGAAAAAATATGAATCTGTTTTCACCCAAATAATCGAATAAAAATGAATATGATATAAATTGCTATAAGTCTTTAAAAACGCTATAAATCATCAATTTCGCTATAAATTGCTATAAAGTCCCTATATCCATAAAAATGGCTAAATCTAACAACTATAATGATTTGAATTTTGTAGTTATATAGGCATTAAACAATCTGCAATATAGGTATAGTGATGAAACACCAGAAATGGGTGTTCTCGTGTTCATTTTCCATTTAAGAAACTTCTTGAATATAACCCAAAATACTTCTCCAAGAATGGATTTATTCAAATGATTGAAAGATTATAAGGATGGGAATTTAGAGTTGGAAGACGCTCATTTCATATTTATTGCACTGTATGACTCCTTAGTAATTATTCATGAAAATACCATTGAATGTGGCAATGATCACCTGAAGAAATGCATTGCCAAAAGGCGCAGTAAATCTATACAAAAGAATAGAGGAGTGCCAAGCTGAAAGAGTGTATCATCGCTTAGTTCTGATGAGATTGATGAGATTTATTGAACATATTCAGTTATATACAGTAAAGGTTTAGCTCATTATTGTTATGATTATTCACATGAAGGTAAGAAAAGGATTGTAAATCATTTAATTAATAGTGCAAAAATTATCTAACGGGCTTGGAGAACTTTCAAGTTAAGACCTGAAACATGGGTAAAACGAGTTTGGAATATAGTGAGAAATGATGGTACACCTGACGAGAAGAAGTTTTTAAGTATAACTCCTTACAAAATAAGAGTTCCTGATGATTGGTATATATACTATAATCAGGTGAGATATAATTATAGAGATAGAATTCTAGCTAAAGACATCCTGAATATAATCAGCATATTCCTTTATTATATGATCATTATGATTCACAAAGCTAGGCAGAAAATAAGAAATATCAGTTATAGGAGCAATTATTTATTGTGAATATATAGTTGTTTTTATAGAATTACATCTGAAAGGTTATAGAATCGTCGAATATTCAGATTGGTCTCATATGTTAAAGTGGCTATCGAATCTCAAAGATTATCATATTAATAAATACTATAATAATGGCAATATAAACTTTATTAAAAGTTCAGAATATGCACGATATGAGATATGCAAATCACATAGCAGAACGAATCTATGCAATTTGCTAGAAATTGACTATTATAAATCTGAATATTTCACCATTGAGAGAAAGCTTAATAGTATAGATTTCTTAGATTTAAAAAATAATTGTGAGTATCCACAACGAGTTTTCCAAGCTATAGATTTTTTACCAAAATAGTATATTACATATTTATTATAATAATACAATAAATTGATTCTTTCTTTCTTTTGTATAGATCGATTACTGAATGTATCACCTGTAAAGTAGAAATAAAATACGTGATTTTGACTGGGATGCTCTAGCTGAAATTTGTTAAGAAAAGTCATGATAGATTATTTTTTCAAGAAAAAGAGAAGGGAAGTTCAATAAAGCAATCATGAGGGTTCTTGATCCCTAAATACTATAATTATAGCTTTGAAAATTTTTATGCAACAGTTATCCAGCGAGCTTACAGAAATTATAAGAAGAGACCCGAATCTTTGGCAAAACAAGTTTGGAAGGTGGTGAGAAATGATGGTACTCTTGACAGGTAGAAGTATTTAGGTATTATTCCTTGTGATGAGGCTGATTATTATATTAATGGAAAACTCATAAAATTTAACTAAAAAAGTGATTATTTTAATATGCTATATAATCATACCCTTTATTCTCCTATAACTTGGGCGGAAGAGAAAAAAAATCA